TAAACCAGGACTAACCCAGGACTAAACCAGGACTGAAGAGGAGGACTAATCCAGGACTAAACCAGGACTAAACCAGGACTAAACCACGACTGAACTAGGACTAAAACCAGGACTTAGACCAGGTCTAAACCAGGACTGAACCAAGACTAAACCAGGACTAACCCAGGACTAAACCAGGACTAAACCAGGACTGAAGAGGAGGACTAATCCAGGACTAAACCAGGACTGAACCAAGACTAAACCAAGACTGAACTAGGACTAAAACCAGGACTTAGACCAGGTCTAAACCAGGACTGAACCAAGACTAAACCAGGACTAACCCAGGACTAAACCAGGACTGAACCAAGACTAAACCAGGACTAACCCAGGACTGATTCCAGGACTGAAGAGGAGGACTAATCCAGGACTAAACCAGGACTAAACCAGGACTGAACCAGGACTAAAACCAGGACTTAGACCAGGTCTAAACCAGGACTAAACCAGGACTAAAATAGGACTAAACCAGGACTAAAATAGGACTAAAATAGGACTAAAACAGGACTAAACCAGGACTAAAATAGGACTAAACCAGGACTAAAACCAGGACTGAACTAGGACTAAAACCAGGACTTAGACCAGGTCTAAACCAGGACTGAACCAAGACTAAACCAGGACTAACCCAGGACTGATTTCAGGACTGAGGAGGAGGACTAATCCAGGACTAAACCAGGACTAAACCAGGACTAAACCAGGACTGAACTAGGACTAAAACCAGGACTTAGACCAGGTCTAAACCAGGACTGAACCAAGACTAAACCAGGACTAACCCAGGACTAAACCAGGACTAAAATAGGACTAAACCAGGACTGAAATAGGACTAAAATAGGACTAAAACAGGACTAAACCAGGACTAAAATAGGACTAAACCAGGACTAAAACCAGGACTAAAACCAGGACTAAATCAGGACTAAAACAGGATTTAACAGGACTAAATCCTGCTGTGTGGACGTGTCTCCTCCACTTCTATCAATAATATTTTTAATTTGGTTCAGTAAAGTTTGGGCTTTTTGTTTTTATTTTATCAGACAAAACTTCTTATGTTACGATATCTTAGTCTTTGCTTCTCTACAGCAAATCAAGTAATCCAGAGTATTCAGATTACATTACTCACTTTAAGTAATTTAATGGATTACGTTACAAACTACATTTTGGGGTCTGTAATCTGTAATCTGTAGGGGATTACATTTTAAAAGTCACCTTCCCAACACTGAATATCATACTGCGGAACATTCCAGGCAGAGCAACGACACATCCATAGAAACATCCCAACCAAAAAGTTACACAGTGCACCTTTATATCCAGACTAAAGCAGTGGACCACATCAGAACAGCTGGAGAACTCTTTGCGGAGCTTGTTTTAGCTTTTATCTCACCGTGATCACATTCAAGTTGGTGCAATTATCAAAACTCAAAATTGGAATGACATTTTTTACTCCTCTGCAAAGAACAAAAGACATAAAAAACAAAAAATAAAAAATAAAAATGGCTACCTGTAGTTTAAACCTTTGAAAACCTAACCCGCTTGTATTTCGGTTTTTCTCTCAAATATAAACCCTCCTGGAGTTTTTTCTTTTTTACAATGTACACTTTGAAACCTCTTTTTTAAAAACATTTCAAATTGAATCATAATCGGAATACTTGTCAGAGAAATCACAGATGCAGTTCTTTTTCCCGAAACGGTGCAGCCCGAGGAGGAGGAGCAGCTCTTGTATCTGTGGCTGCGTTCAGACTGCAGCCTGAAGTGACCCAAATCCGATTTTTTTGGCCCCTATGTTCCTGTATCTGATCTTTTAATGACAGTCTGAACGACACAGATCTGATTTTTTCAAATGTGACCCAGGACACTTGGATATGTGCTCCTGAAACTGATACATATCTGATCTTTTGACATGTGACTTCAGTGTGAACGGCCAAAGTGCATTCATCCACCTACACGTTATCAACAAGACACAAACGTCACTATTCTGCGCACTGAAGTAGGTGAAAATTGTTAATAAACTCCGTGTGACTGAAGTGAAGCACATCACCACTCACCACTCTTGGCTCCGTCTCCACATCCACACGTTCCTTTCAACGGACGTCGCTGCCGCTGCCCCACAAAACACCACGACCAAAAACCTCGTCCTTCTCCTTCTCAATCTCCTCCTTAAAACAAGTAAGTTGTTCATGTTCTGGCTCCGGTACGAGAGGAACTTTAAAATCTCCAGGTGCTCGATGCTGCGTCCATGTTTGGACAACTTCCGTAAACACAGAGACGCTCGCTGCGGTTGACGTCGTCGTGTCTCCAGTGTCACATGTGGGACACTTTCGGGCCGTTTAATGTTCACACTGGAGTCACATACAAGTCACATTTAATTGGAAATGTGAACGACCTCGCAAAAACATCGGATTTCACACAAAAAAAAAAAATCGGAATTGAGCGTTAAGCCCTGCAGTCTGAACGCAGCCTGAGTGTGATTGGTCTCGTTCCCGGGCGACAGCAGAGGCCTTGTTTCTGACACTAAACTCTGTGGATTTGTGCTCGCTGACGGAGCTTCATTTCACCAGCGCTGGGTTTGTCGAGAGGAGACAGAACACAGATGCAGATTTACCGCTATAAAAATATAAAAACTCACGGGCAGTGTTGAGAAGGTGACTTTTAAAATGTATTCCCTTACAAATTACAGATTACATACACCAAAATGTAGTTTGTAACGTAATTCATTAAATTACTTAAAGTGAGTAATGTAATCTGAATACTTTGGATTACTTGATTTGCTGTAGAGAAACAAAGATGAGGAAATCTTCACATAAGAAGTTTTGTCTGATAAAAGACAATGAAAAGCCCAGACTTTCCTTAACTGTATTAAAAATATTATTGATAGAAGAGGAGGAGACACAGTCCACGCTGCATGATTTAGTCCTGTTAAATCCCAGTTTAGTCCTGGTTTAGAACAGGGTTAGAACTGGTTTGGACCTGGGTTTAGACCTGGTTTAGTGTCCGGCAATGAGTGGAATTACCAAACAAAACAAAACAAACAAAAAAACGGAATAGCCCAAAATGTGATCACAGGAAAATCCCGCCGTGTAATCCATTTATTTCAACAAAGTAACTGTAATCCAATTACCACTCACTGAAACAGTAACTGTAACTGAATACAGTTACTCATAATTTGTACTCTGATTACATAATTCTGGTACATGTAATCTGTTACTCCCCAACTCGCACGGGGAAAAAAAAATCATCTAGAACACAAGATGATGCTTTGGTTTCACAATTTTTCACCGAAAACTAAACTAAACTTAAAAACGCGTTGTGTAACTTTTCTGGTGGAGGTTTTGTCAAATGCTTTTTTTTCTTTTTCTTTCTGTGAAGATGTTGCTGCTTTGGAATGTTTCGCAGTGTGGCTTTAAACCTTCCTATCTCCATGGAGACCAAACCAGACCAAGTTACGGGTCAGATCTGTGGAGAGGCGACCCCGCTCACAGAATGTCAGAATGTGGCTTTTTCAAGGTATTTTTGAGCTATAAAACCTCTTGTAATTGAATAAATGTAAAGTAAAGCTGTTTAATGTCACACTGCGGAACATTCAGGGCAGAGCGACGACGTATCCATAGTAACAGGTAGTTGACAGACTCCAAAAAGCTACATCGTGCACCTTTATGCAACGTAAACTTATTAAATCTCAACTCAAGAATAAAAAAAACAAAACGGTGCAGTGTGTAAATTTCTTATTAAAGCCATACTTCGGAACATTCATCAAGATTATAGCCAAAACAGCAATATCATCTCCATGGAGACGAGCAGGAGAAGGCCCTGCTCCAGGCCAAATACGAGTCAGGTTTGTGGAGTTTGTATGTTTGTCAGTGAAGTAAACACAACCAAAATGTGTAAAAAAAAAAGTAGTTTTGAGTCTATTTTTGGCCAAAAAAATGTTACGTACTGAAGCTTTAAGGAAACTGTCATGTACCATCTCGCCAGGTATAGATATTTTCTTTCACGGTAAAATCCTGGGAAGGTTTAACGGTATCAAAATTTGGATATCGCCCAACCCTAGTGTAGATTAAACCGATTTATCGTGAGAAAGACGAACAGGTTACAGCGCTACGCCACATTACAGGTCAGATCTGCGGAGAGTCGCCTCTATTCACAGAAGAAATGCTGTATTTCTGAGCAATAAAACCACCTGTAATGAATAAATGTTAGATGGAAATGTTTAATGTGATACCGAACCAATAATATCTCCATGGAAACAAGCAAGTCCCTCCACCAAAAGCACCTTTAAATAACTTTTATAAACCCAAGATAAGAGATCTACAAAGAGGAGTTTTCGTTTTAAGACCCGGGTCCCTTCAAAAACAATCGATTTTTTTTTTTTTTTTTTTTTTTGCCGTGTTCAATATTAAACCGAGGCTCAAATCAGAGGTGAAAACATGTCAAGCTTAAGTCGTCCATTGAGCTGAAATCACCCTGAAATGAGCTGTTCGCACTGTGTAATGTTCTTTTCAGTCTGAGTCGGGGTTGCCAGGTCTGCAGATTTTCATGCTGAATTAGAGAGCTGCTTTTTCCCCAGAGAAGAAAATGGGTCCGTGGGTTTGGGCAGAGCAATTTATGTCGAATGAGTTGGAATCCTTAGTGGTGCTGGACTGGTAAAAAGCGTCGGGGATTTGAGATTGCACCATATTTTCTGCAGTTTTTTTTTTTTTTTTTAGGAAGGTTTTGCTGTCGAAACCTGGCAACCCCTGCGCATACCGTGTTACTTTTAATCTTTACCGGGGCTGGACTGGTGAAATACATTTGGACTTAAAGTTACATCATATTTTCGGCGGTTTTTAGGAGGGTTTCGCTGTTGAAATCTGGAAATCTGTAGTCCTTCGTGGGGCTGGATTCGTAAAATACTTTGGGAATTGCGTCGTATATTTTGATTTTGAGGGTTTTTCTTTTTTGAAATCTGGTCACCCCGGGCTTCGCGTGGTTCTTACCTTCTCCTGGACCTCCTGCTTCTCCTTGAGGGCGTCCTCCAGCTGGGCCTGCAGGTCGCTGATCTGGTTCAGGTTCTGGGCCGACTAAAAAGAGACAGACAAGTGTTAATGGAGAGAAGAACGACAAGTATTATCCTGTTTTTTTATTGCATGTTCGTTTATGGTAACACGTTTGTTTATGTTTCAGCTTTTAAATTCACAAATTTTTTTATCGCACAATCACATTAAACTCCTCGTGGTTGAGTTTTAATCACAAAATGAGCCTATAGATTATGTATAATTTTGACACTTTTCTCTGCCTCACTGCATTTCTGCCTCTATGTCTCAGTGCCTCTCTCTCTCTGCTTCCCTGGATCTGTCTCTCTGCATCTGTCTCTCTTTCTCTCTGCATCTGTCTCTCTGCATCTGTCTCTCTGCATCTGTCTCTCTTTCTCTCTGCATCTGTCTCTCTGCATCTGTCTCTCTCTCTGCATCTCTCTGTCTCTCTGCATCTGTCTCTCTTTCTCTCTGCATCTGTCTGCATCTGTCTCTCTTTCTCTCTGCATCTGTCTCTCTTTCTCTCTCTCTGCTCTGTCTCTCTGCATCTGTCTCTCTTCTCTCTGCTCTCTCTGTCTCTCTGCATCTGTCTCTCTTTCTCTCTGCATCTGTCTCTCTTTCTCTCTGCATCTGTCTCTCTTTCTCTCTGCATCTGTCTCTCTTCTCTCTGCATCTGTCTCTCTTTCTCTCTGCATCTGTCTCTCTCTCTCTGCTCTGCATCTGTCTCTCTCTCTGTCTCTTATCTGTCTCTCTCTGCATCTCTCTGCATCTGTCTCTCTTGTCTCTCTGCATCTGTCTCTCTTTCTCTCTGCATCTGTCTCTCTTTCTCTCTGCATCTGTCTCTCTGCATCTGTCTCTCTGCTCTCTGCATCTGTCTCTCTTTCTCTCTGCATCTGTCTCTCTTTCTCTCTGCATCTGTCTCTCTCTCTGCATCTCTCTCTCTCTGCATCTGTCTCTCTGTCTCTCTGCATCTCTCTGTCTCTCTGCATCTGTCTCTCTCTGTGTCTCTCTGCATCTGTCTCTCTGCATCTGTCTCTCTCATCTGTCTCTCTGCATCTGTCTCTCTTTCTCTCTGCATCTGTCTCTCTGTCTCTCTGCATCTGTCTCTCTGCTCTCTGCTCTGTCTCTCTTCTCATCTGTCTCTCATCTGTCTCTCTTCTCTCTGCATCTGTCTCTCTTTCTCTCTCTCTCTGTCTCTCTTCTCTCTGTCTCTCTGCTCTGCATCTGTCTCTCTTCTGCATCTGTCTCTCTGTTCTCTCTTGTCTTCTGTCTGCATCTGTCTCTCTCTTCTCATCTGCTCTGTCTCTCTGCATCTGTCTCTCTTCTCTCTGCATCTGTCTCTTTCTCTCTCTCTGTCTCTCTGCATCTCTCTGCATCTGTCTCTCTGTTCTCTCTGTCTCTCTTTCTCTCTGCATCTGTCTCTCTCTTTCTCATCTGTCTCTCTTTCTCTCTGCATCTGTCTCTCTTTCTCTCTGCATCTGTCTCTCTTTCTCTCTGCATCTGTCTCTCTTTCTCTCTGCATCTGTCTCTCTCTCTCTCTCTGCATCTGCATCTGTCTCTCTCTCTTCTCTCTGCATCTGTCTCTCTGCATCTGTCTCTCTGCATCTGTCTCTCTGCATCTGTCTCTCTTTCTCTCTGCATCTGTCTCTCTTTCTCTCTGCATCTGTCTCTCTGCATCTGTCTCTCTTTCTCTCTGCATCTGTCTCTCTGCATCTGTCTCTCTCTCTGCATCTGTCTCTCTTTCTCTCTGCATCTGTCTCTCTTTCTCTCTGCATCTGTCTCTCTGCTTCTCTCTCTGCATCTGTCTCTCTTCTCTCTGCATCTGTCTCTCTTCTCTCTATCTGTCTCTCTCATCTCTTCTCATCTGTCTCTCTGCATCTGTCTCTCTTCTCTCTGCTCTCTCTCTGCATCTGTCTCTCTGTCTCTCTCTGCATCTCTCTGTCTCTCTGCATCTGTCTCTCTGCATCTGTCTCTGCTCTGTCTCTCTCTCTCTGCATCTGTCTCTCATCTGTCTCTCTTCTCTCTGCTTCTCTCTTTCTCTCATCTGTCTCTCTGCTCTCATCTGTCTCTCTGCTTCTCATCTGTCTCTCTGCATCTCTCTGCATCTGTCTCTCTTTCTCTCTGCATCTGTCTCTCTGCATCTGTCTCTCTGCATCTCTCTCTCTCTGCTCTGTCTCTCTTCTCCTCTGTCTCTCTGCATCTGTCTCTCTTTCTCTCTGCATCTGTCTCTCTTTCTCTCTGCATCTGTCTGCTCTGTCTCTCTGCATCTCTCTGCATCTCTCTTTCTCTCTGCATCTGTCTCTCTCTCTCTCTGCATCTGTCTCTCTTTCTCTCTGCATCTGTCTCTCTTTCTCTTGCATCTGTCTCTCTGCATCTGTCTCTCTGTCTGTCTCTCTTCTCTCTGCATCTGTCTCTCTGCATCTGTCTCTCTCTTCTCTCATCTGTCTCTCTGCATCTGTCTCTCTGCATCTGTCTCTCTTTCTCTCTGCATCTGTCTCTCTTTCTCTGCATCTGGTCTCTGTCTCTCTGCACTGTCTCTCTTTCTCTCTGCATCTGTCTCTCTCTCTCTCTCTGTCTCTCTGCTCTCTGCATCTTCTCTTTCTCTCTGCTCTCTCTCTGCATCTCTCTCTTCTCTCTGCATCTGTCTCTCTTTCTCTCTGCTCTGTCTCTCTTCTCTCTGCTCTCTGCTCTCTGCATCTGTCTCTTTTCTCTGCATCTGTCTCTCTGCTCTCTGCATCTGTCTCTCCTCGCATCTGTCTTCTCATCTGTCTCTCTGCATCTCTCTGCTCTGTTCTCTCTTCTCTCTGCTGTCTCTCTGCATCTGTCTCTCTTCTGCTCTCTCTCTCTCTTTCTCTCTGCATCTGTCTCTCTTTCTCTCTGCTCTCTGCATCTGTCTCTCTTCTCTCTCTCTCTCTCTCTGCATCTGTCTCTCTTTCTGCTCTCTGCATCTGTCTCTCTTTCTCTCTGCATCTGTCTCTCTTTCTCTCTGCTCTGCATCTGTCTCTCTTTCTCTCTGCTCTGTCTGTCTCTATCTGTCTCTCTGCATCTGTCTCTCTCTCTGCTCTCTCTCTTCTCTCTGCATCTGTCTCTCTTTCTCTCTGCATCTGTCTCTCTGCATCTGTCTCTCTGCATCTGTCTGCATCTGTCTCTCTGCTATCTGTCTCTCTGCATCTGTCTCTCTGCATCTGTCTCTCTCTCTGTCTCTCTGCATCTGTCTGCTCTCTGTTCTCTCTGCATCTGTCTCTCTTCTCTCTCTCTCTGCATCTGTCTCTGTCTCTCTTCTTCTCTTCATCTGTCTCTCTTTCTCTCTGCATCTGTCTCTCTCTCTCTCTCTCTGCTCTCTCATCTCTGTCTCTCTCTGCATCTGTCTCTCTGCATCTGCTCTCTCTCTCTCTCTGTCATCTGTCTCTCTGCTCTGTCTCTCTCTGCATCTGTCTCTCTTTCTCTCTCTCATCTGTCTCTCTCTTCTCTCTGCATCTGTCTCTCTTTCTCTCTCTGCATCTGTCTGCATCTCTCTTCTCTCTGCATCTGTCTCTCTGCATCTGTCTCTCTGCATCTGTCTCTCTCTCTGCTCTGCTCTCTCTCTGCATCTGCATCTGTCTCTCTGCATCTGTCTCTCTGCATCTGTCTCTCTTCTGCATCTCTCTGCATCTGTCTCTCTCTCTCGCATCTGTCTGCATCTCTCTCTTCTCTCTGATCTGTCTCTCTCTGCATCTGTCTCTCTTTCTCTCTGCATCTGTCTGCATCTGTCTGCATCTCTCTCTCTGCATCTGTCTCTCTCTTCTCTCTGCATCTGTCTTCTCCTGCATCTGTCTCTCTCTCTGCATCTGTCTTCTCTCTGCATCTGTCTCTCTTCTCTCTCTCTTCTGTATCTCTCTCTGTCTCTCTGCATCTGTCTCTCTTCTCTTTCTCTCTGCATCTGTCTCTCTGCATCTGTCTCTCTATGTCTGTCTCACTGTCTCAGTTCCTCTCTCTCTCTGCCTCCCTGGATGTGCCTTCTTGGATCTGTATCTGTCTCTCTGCATCTGTCTGTCTCTCTGCCTCTCTATATCTCTACCTTTGTCTCTTTGTCTGTTTCTATATCTGTCTCTCTGCTTTTTCCTCTGTCTCTGTGTCTCTCTTTCTCTCTGCATCTGCATCTGTCTCTCTCCTTCTCTGTCTCCGTCTCTCTGCTTCTCTGTCTCCATCTCTCTGCTTCTCTGTCTGTCTGCTTCTCTGTCTCTGTCTCTCTGCTTCTCTGTCTGTCTCTCTGCTTCTATATCTACATCTCTCTGCATCTCTGTCTCGCTTCCTCTGTCTCGCTTCATCTGTCTCTCTGCATCTGTCTCTTTCTCTCTGCCTCTTTCTCTCCGCACCTGCATCTCTGTCTCCCTGCACCTGTGTCTGTGTCTCTACATCTGTCTCTTTCTCTCTTCATCTGTCTCTCTTTCTCTCTTCATCTGTCTCTGCTTCTCTGTCTGTCTCTCTGCTTCTCTGTCTGTCTCTCTGCTTCTCTGTCTGTCTCTCTGTTTCTATATCTACGTCTCTCTGCATCTCTGCATCTCTGTCTCTCTGCATCTGCCTCTTTTGCTCTGCCTCTGTCTTTCTCTCTCTCTGAATCTCTGTCTCCTCGTCCATCTGCCTCTGCCTCCTGAGACTCGGCTCTGATGGGACACGTCTGAAAACTGCGGGGAGCTTTTTACTCACAACATTAGCTCTCCATGGCAACAAGAGACTCTCCAATCTCAAGAGGAGGGAGTTGGATTCATTAAGGGGAATGCATTAGATCTGCTCTTTTCAAATATAGAACGAACAGAATCTCGGGGAGAAGAGTAAATATCCTCCAGATATTGAGGGAAGCAGAAGAAGCAATTAAAGCTGCATTGCGTAACATTTTTGCCATCTGCTTATTTGCATGGAGATTGGGGATGTTATTGCTTTGGCGTAGAATGTTCCGCAGTATATCACCGAACGTATGGAGAGTAGAAAGTGACACCAGGTCAAGTTAGAGGTCAAATACTCACATGTGCATTTTTCTAAAATTGCAAGAATAAAAACATTTGTTGAATAAAAGACGGATACGCCAAAGGAGGAATTCAATTTGTCACCTGGACAAACGTTTATTTAGGTTGAAAACTAGTGACGGGCAAATGAGTCGGAGCTCCGGAGCGCGTCTCGTTCTTTCTGAAACAAATTTCTCCACAGCACTGCCTCGGAGCTCGTCTCGCAGCAGCCGCTCACGTGACCGAAGTGTCGAAGTGTGGGTCCCTCCCCCGACTGCTTCGCTCTGCGTGTCAGTCGCTTCAGTGTATCGAAGCGTTTCATTGGCTCGGTGAATGTTCCGCTCTGCGATTGGTTCAGAGCGCTTCTGTGGTTTGACGAGCGCTAAACTGCTACAGTATAAAAGATGCACCAATATTTCTTAAAAATGTTGGGTAGTGAGGAGTGTCGTGTGACGATAGTGGTGATTTTGGCGACTTTTGGCATTTGTTTCATTTTCGATGGCATCTACAAGTGGAAAAAAGCGATCCATGGTTTGGGATCACTTTGGTCTAATTCCACCTAACAAGATAACACCTATTTTCTTATTTACAGCTGCTATTTATGTTGCTCTTTACATAATATTTTTAATCATCATTATTGTTGTTGTTGTTAGGTACAGTGTCGCTCTGCACATAAGTACTGTCTAACACTAACAATACTTCATTTTATACATATTTTATGTACGACTGGACTAATTTTAGAGTTTGCACATATTTATTTTATGCGCAACTACAGCCAAATACGCACGGATTTCTATTCTATGCGCACAAATATTTTTGAAAGCTTTCTTACTCCATATTCACAGCTCTTCGCTGATTGGCCGGTGCGCGGTCTACAACTTTCGGGGTTCTTGCCAACAGTCTAGTGTATTCCGATTCCTGACCTAGTCGCTGGAAAGAATTGAAACTGAGCAGAGGCACTAGGAAGAATTGTCTTTCCTAACAAAAATTGCTTCTTTAACTCCCTTCTCAAACCAATTCTTTTCTCTGGCTCAGATCTGTACCTCACTGTGCTCAAAGGAGTGTCCTGTGGCTTTAAGATGGAGATGTACAGCAGACTGAGGTCCTGTGTTGCTCTCTCGTCTGTGTTGGTTTTATTTCTCCAGTTTTCACTACACTAAATGAACTAAACCACATTTGTTGCTTTGTTTGTGACTCGGCGTTTTGTTCTTTAGGTGGATCCGTTTCTGTCTTAAAATGTTTGTAGGTTTGAAATTGAAATGCTTTAGAGCTAAATAAACGTTTGTCCGGTTTGCCGTTAATTCTACCTGGACGACTGAGGGATTCTACACACACACACACACCACACAAGACGGATATGTTTAATGCCATACTGCGGAACATTCCAGGTAGAACAGAGAGTGAGTAAACGGTTGTCAGAATAATTTTATTATCCCATATTTGCTAAATACTTGTGTGATATTCTAGGCCTATGAGTTAACCATTTATGTAACTACAATTCTTTGATTTATAATGTACCAATCACTTGTATGAAAATGAATAACCTCTGTGTGTTTGACAACTGTGTGCAGTGTCCTATCGCTCTAGTGAACCTCGAGATGATTCCTCACATGAAGCCAACTCCCACTGTCACACATGCAAGAGTTATGATGGTGTCTGTCCAAACCTAAGGCACCTCCTGATTGTTAATCATGTTTTATGTGTTTATACTATGCATAGCTTCATCAGTTTGTTATTATGTCTTTGCTGTTTCCCCTTCCCCTTGAGAATTATCATTCTGTAACTAGGGCCTCCTAATGAAATAAAAAGAGGAGAACGGCCTTGAGGCATCAGAACGTGTGGAGACTGTTGGTTTTGTTGCCCACTCTCTGCCCGTTCTCCTCGCGAGTAAAACTGAATTAATCTCTTGTCTTTCTTCTTGTTTACAATGTTTAGGCAGACCTAACAACGGTACAGATGACAGACCTGCGCCACTGCGGCCTTGTGTTTCTTCATGAGCTCGTTCAGATCCTCCTGGTCCTCCTCCATTCTGGACTGGATGTCGTTCTTCTCCCTCTGCAGACGACTCAGCTGCTCCTCCAGCTGCAAAAACACAAAACGACACACGGTCAGTGCAGAGAAGGGAATCGGTTTATCGGTTTCGGACGATATCTGTGATTCTGTGGGATTTCCTCAGACAACGATTGGTCCGATATCGAAAATCTAGACGATATTTGGGACTGATAAGTTTTTCTGCACTGCCCAGAGAGGAAAGAGTGAGAGGAGAGAAAGAGAGGAGGAAAAGAGTGAAAGAGAGGAGGAGAAGAAGAAACGGAGAGTGGGTAAAGGTAGAGAGGAGAGGAAGAGAGAAAGTGAAAAGTGAATTTGTAAATGTGTTTTTTATTATTATAACATACATTTGGGCGTAATTAATATCTGCAAAAAAAAAAAAAGAGGAGGAGGAGGAGAAGAGAGTGAGAGGACTTTGACTTTTAATAAAACATTTATTTTGTCATTTGTCACTTAAAACTGTACAAAAAAACCCCAACAATAACAAAAAAAAAGAGAAAGAGAGGAGGAGAGAGAGCAAGAAGAAGAGAGACAGGAGAGAGAGACAGAAAGAGAGAGGAGGAAAGAGAGAGGAAGAAAAAGAGACAGGAGAAGAAAGAGAGAGAGGAGAGAGAGAGAGAAGAGAGAGGGGAAGAAAGAGGACGAGAATGAGGCGAGAAGAAAGAGAGTGGAGAAGAGAGAGAAAAAGAGAGGAGGAAAGAGAGGGGAGAGGGGGAAGAAAGAGAGAGACAGAGAAGAGAGAGAGCGAGAAGGAAAGAGGAAGAAAGAGAGGAGAGGAGAAGAGAGAGAGAAAGAGAAGGAGGAGAGAGAGGGAGAGAGAGAGAAGGAGGAAGAGAGCAGGAGAAGAAAGAAAGAGTAGAAGAGAAGAGAGAGACAGAGAGAGAGAGAGGGAGAGAGAGGAGAGAGAGAGAGAGGAAGACGAGAGAGGAGAGAGAGGAGAGAGAGAGAGGAGGAGAGAGGAAGAAGAGAGGACAGGAGAGAGAGGGAGGAGAAAGAGGAGGAAGAGAAGGAACAAGAGAGACAGGAGAAGAGAGAGAAAGAGAGAGAGGAGAAAAAAGATAGGAAGAAAGAGGAGGAGAGAAGAGAGAGAGAGAGAGAGAGAGAGGGAAGACACGGGGGAACAGGAGAAGCGAGAGAGAGAGAAAGAGAGGAGGAGAGAGAGAGAAAAGAGAGGAGGAAAGAGAGGGGAGAGGGGGAAGAAAGAGAGAGACAGGAGAAGAGAGAGAGCGAGAAGGAAAGAGGAAGAAAGAGAGGAGAGGAGAAGAGAGAGAGAAAGGAGGAAAGAGAGAGGAAAGAGAGAGAAAGAGGAAGAAAGAAGAAAGAAAGAGTAGAAAGAGAGAGAGAAAGAGACAGAGAAGAGAGAGAGAAAGCGAGAGAGACAGGGGAGAGAGAGAGAGAAGAGAGAGGAGGACGGAGAGGAGGAGGAGAGAGAGAGAGACAGGAGGAGAAGAGAGATAGAGAGAAAGGGAGAAAAAGACAGGAGGAGAAAGACAGAGAGAAAAGAAAAAGGAAGAAAAACAGGAGGAGAGAGGGAGGAAAGAGAGAGAGGAGGAGAGAGGAAGAAAGCAACAGGAGAGAGAGGAGAGGGAGAGAAAGAGGAGAGAGGAGAAGAAAAGCAAGAGAGACAGGAGAAGAGAGAGAAAGAGAGAGAGGAGAAAAAAGATAGGAGGAGAAAGAGGAGAGAGAGAGAGAGGGAAGAAGGGGGGAACAGGAGAAGCGAGAGAGAGAGAAAGAGAGGAGGAGGAGAGAGGAAAAAGAAGGGAAAGAGAGGGGAGGGAGAGAGAAGAGAGAGAGAAGAGAAGAGAGAGAAGAAGGAAAGAGGAAGAAAGGAAGAGAGAGAAGGAGAGAAGAGGAAAGAAAGAAGAGAGGAAGAGAGAGAGAAAGGAGGAGAGAGAGAGGAAGAAAGAAAGACAGTAGAAGAGAGAGAGAAAGAGACAGGAGAAGAGAGAGAGAGAGAAAGAAAGAGAGGAGACAGGGAGAGAAGAGAGAGAGAGAGAGAGAGAGAGAGAGAGGGAGGACGAAAGGGAGGAGGAGAGAGGAAGATAGAGAGAAAGGGAAGAAAAAGACAGGAGGAGAGAGGGAGGAAAGAGAGAGGAGAGAGGAAGAAAGCGACAGGAGAGAGAGAGAGAGGGGAGAAAGAGGAGGAGAGAGACAGGAAGCAAGAGAGACAGGAGAAGAGAGAGAGAGAGAGAGAGAGAGAGAGAGAGGGAAGACGGGGGGAACAGAGAAGAAAAAAGAGAGAGAAAGAGAGGAGGAGGAGAGAGAAACAAGAAAGAGAACCTGAAGAATCACGAATACAAATATCTTAAATTCTTACTACACCTCCTCCCTCTTTCTCTCTCTCTCTCTCTCTCTGCTCCTCACGTCCAACTGCCCTTCGTCTTGTACATCCCTCCCTCCTCTCCTCCTCTCCTCCTCTGACGTGGGCGAGCGTCGTCTCTCCGTTTATTTAAGCCCCCGACTCATAAACGACAAGTGTAATTAGCTTACACCTTTAGCACCGCAGCCGAGGGACCCGCGCCGCGCTAATCCTATTTAGGTAATGAGGGATAATGCAGAGGGATGGAGAGAGGAGAGGAACGAGGGATGAGCCCAAATGATGGATAATACGGGGAGTCAAGTACGGAGGGAGAGAGGGAAGAGAGAAGAGAGGGAGAGAGGAAAGAGGAGGAGGGTTAATAAATGATGAGTAATATGGAGATTCAAGTAGGTTAATAAACTCATTTAAGAAGGAAAGAAAGAGAGAGAGAGAAAGAAGACGGGAAGAAAGAGAGAGGGAGGAAAGAGGGAAATAATGAGGGGATTCAAGTACGGGATAATAAACTCAAGACGAGGAAGAAGAGAGAAGAAGAGCAAAGAGAATGTGAGAGACAAGAAAAGATGAAAGGAGAGAGAGAAGATATGAAGGAGGGAGCGGAGAGAGATGGAAAAGAGAGAGAGAGAGAGAGAGAGAGAGATGAGAGGGGGATGAGGTGACAGCCGAGCTCGAATCTGATTAAAGATTTCCAAAGATAGAACAGAAATCAAAAAGAGCGTCTCGGGTTATTATCGGGGGAAAGGTTTATTTGTGTTTTGTTTACAAGAGAAACACGCGAAGAACAGAGAGAAAGAAGAGAGGAGAGAGAAGAAAGGAGGAGAGGAGAGCGAGAGAGGGAGAGAACAGAGAGAAGAGACAGTAAGAGGGGGAAGGGAGAAGAGAGAGAGAACGGTGGAGGGGAGAAGGAGAGAGAGGGAGACAGGAGTGAGGGGGGAGAGAAAAAGAACAGAGGAGGAGAGAGGAGGCAGAGAGGGACAGAAGAGGAGAGAGGGAGAGAGAGAAGAGCAAAGAGAAGGAGAGAGAGAGAGAGTGAGAGAGAGAAGAGCGAAGAGAAGGAGAGAGAGAGAGAGAGGGACAGAAGAGAGGAGAGAGAGATGGAGAGAGGGAGTGAGAGAGATAGAACAGAGAAGGAGAGAGGAAGAGAGGGTGAGAGAGAGGGGGGAGAAGAGAGGAGAAGAGAGAGAGAGGTATAGAGAACAGAGGAGGAGAGAGAGGGGGGAGAAGAGAGAGGGAGAGAGAGAAGAGCGAAGAGAAGGAGAGAGAGAGAGAGATGGACAGAAGAGGAGAGAGAGATGGAGAGAGAGAGAAGAGCGAAGAGAAGGAGAGAGAAGAGAGATGGACAGAAGAGGAGAGAGAGGGAGAGAGAGAAGAGCAAAGAGAAGGAGAGAGAGAGAGGGGGACAGAAGAGAGGAGAGAGAGATGGAGAGAGGGAGTGAGAGAGATAGAACAGAGGAGGAGAGAGGAAGAGAGGGTGAGAGAGAGGGGGGAGAAGAGAGGAGGAGAGAGAGGGGGGAGAAGAGAGAGGGAGAGAGAGGACAGAGAGGAGGAGGAGGAGAGAGAGAGAGATGGACAGAAGAGGAGAGAGAGGGAGAGAGAGAAGAGCAAAGAGAAGGAGAGAGAGAGAGAGAGGGGGACAGAAGAGAGGAGAGAGAGATGGAGAGAGGGAGTGAGAGAGATAGAACAGAGAGAGAGAGAGAGAGAGAGAAGAGAGGGAGAGAGAGAGAGAGAGAGGGAGAGGTATAGAGAACAGAGGAGGAGAGAGAGGGAGAGAGAGGACAGAGAGGAGGAGGAGGAGAGAGAGAGAGAACAGAGGAGAGAGGAGGAGATTAAGAGAGAAAGAGAAGAGAGAGGGAGGAAAGAGAGATAAAGGTAAACAGTGAACAGAGAGGAGGGGGGAGAGAGGAAGAGAGAGAGAGAACAGAGAGGAGAGAGAGGAAAAAGAGGACAGAGGAGGAGAGAGGGGATAGGGGAAGAGAGAGCAAGAGAGAGGAGAGAGGAGAGTAAGAGAGAGAGAGGAAAGAGAGAGAAAGGGAAAGAGAGAACAGAGGAGAGAGCGAGGAGAGGAGAGAGAGAAAGAGAGAGAGACAGCAAACAGAGAGAAAGAGAGAGAAGAGAGGAGAGAAAAAGAGAGAAGTGAGAGAAAGGGAGAGAGAGAACAGAAGAGGAGGGAGAGGAGAGAGAGAAGAGAGAAAGGAAAGAGAGAGAGACAGAGGAGGAGGGAAAGAGAGAGGGAGATAGAGAGAGAGAGAAGAGAGAGAAGAGAGAGGGAGGAGGAGAGAAGAGAAAGAGAGAGAGAGGGACAGAGAGAACAGAGAGGAGACAGAGGAAAAGAGAGAACAGAGGAGGAGAGAAGGGAGGGGGGAGAGAGAGAGAGGGGAGTGAACAGAGAGAAAGAGACAGAAGAGAGGAGAGAGAAAGAGAGAGCAGCGAGAGAAAAGGAGAGCGAGAACCGAGGAGGAGAGACAGTAAGAGAGAGAGAACAGAAGAGGAGAGCGAGGGAGAGAGAAAAAGGGAGAGAGAGAACAGAGGAAGAGAAAGAGAGGGGGGGAGAGGAAGAGAGAGAGGAGAGGAGAGAACAGAGAGGGAGAGAAAGAGGAGGAGACAGCGAGAGGATGGAGAGTCAGGGGACACAGACGGAGAGATGAGACGAGAGAGAAGACGAGAGAGGAAAGAGCGAGAGGAAAAGGAGGCAGATTAGACGAGAAGAAGAGAGTGG